TTCCTTCCTTCCTTCCTTCCTTCCTTCCTTCCTTCCTTCCTTCCTTCCTTCCTTTCTTTTCCTCCCTCCCTCCCTCCTCCTCCCATATGAATTATGAATGACTTACGCATGTTCTTCACATTTATGACCACTGCAGCGTCCCCATGGCCATGTGAGCAAAATTCAGATGCTTCGAAATGACTCACCTTTACTTATGGGCCCAGGGATTCCCCTCTGACAAACCAAGCCAAGGGGGTAGCCACTTAAAAACCGCGTCGCTAACTCAGCCACTGCGTGATTTGCTTAATAACTGTGGCAAGAAGAACCATAAAACAGGCCAAGACACACTTAACAACTATCTCGCTTAGCCACGTAATCTTTTGGGTCATAAGTCAAGAATCACCAGCATTTTTCTGACCTGTGTTTCCCTCCCACAAGTCCACTATTATTCTTTATGTCGTGTCCAGCCACGTCAAAATCAATCACCAAGGACCCAAATCTGACCCAAGTATAAACCGACATATGCACACCCCAGAGCTTTCTGTTCCCGTCACACCAGAACCTTCTCTCCAATATTGTTCATGGTCAAAGTTTGGGATTGTCTATGACATTCCATGCTTGCTTCCATAGGCCTGCTTGAACCTGGCCGAGGTCTCCATTTTTCATGTGGACAGACACCTTTGTTGGAACTCCTGGGTGCTGTTCATCCGAATGACGAATTTGGGACTCACGTTGAAGAATGTTGACTTCTGCCTCTGTACCCACCCCCACCCCCGTTTTTGGCCTCTGTACCCCCACTTCAGCTCATACATTCTTCTATTTCTTCTCACCCTAAACCACAGTGGTGGATCAACCCACTTTTCAGAGTTGTAACCCATGTGGAATTTGGACGTGAAGGGGAGAAATGCCCCCAAGTTGACTTTGAGCTGGGCCTGGAGAAGATTGAAAAAGCAAAGAAGTTCCTCCTGAACTTCAATTTTTGAGGTCCCACCTGGCTGTTGCAGGAAGGCAAGGGTTGGGCAGGTGGGAGGAGTTTTGGCACCGATGCAGGTGAGCGGATAGCGAGCAGCTCATGAGGGGAGTGAAGTGATGGCGGGAAATGAATGCAAGGTGTTCCGAGTGGCACCTCCCACCCCGTCCAACAACATGGCATCCAAAACAATTAGCAGCAGCACAAGAGGAAAGAGGGGCGAGGATGGGGACCACCTACCAAGAGTTCAAACACTGATGTTCCCACATGCATCCTGAAACCCAACCCTTCAGGGTCCCAAAAGTGCTATACCAAAAGGCAACTGGACTTCCTTGGTTTTTCTTGAAGACATTTCTGAACGGAAGATGCTTCTTGGATGAGGAGCAAAACCTCTTCAAGCAAAGCCAAGGAAGTCCAGTTGCCTTTTGACAAAGCACCTTCGGGACGACCATGACCTGGATGACTGAGGATCTCCAACCCTTCTGTCTTTCGCCAAAGGAGATTGAATCCTGCGGATGACCACATGTTGAGTTCACATTCACCTCTCCTCTCTTCCTTCCCTTCTTCCCATCCCTCCTTCTCTGCTTTGGCATTCCACATTTCTCTCTCCATCCACCACCCTGACCAACCTCTCTCCTCCATGGCTCCTTTCCCTGTCCCTTCTCCCAGTGCCGAATGGGACAACTCGCCATGGCCAACTCAACGCAGCCAACTCAACGCAGCCAACTCAACATGCCCAACTCAACGTGGCCAATTCACTGCGGGACGATTCAACAAATACAAAAGTTTAAAGGAATTTCAAATGGAATCCTGGCAAATAATAATCAAAGTAGGTCCATCCAGAAATACAACCGTTACGATAATTTTGCCCAAAATGTAGCTACCCTTAATAAAAGCAACAGAGGTAAAGATAAATGTTTCCCTTGTACATATGTGCTAGTCATTTCTGGCTCTAGGGGTGGTGCTCATCTCCATTACAAAGCCGAAGAGCCAATGCTATCTGTAGGAACTATGATGAGAGAGCACCACAGCTGTCCGAAGACGTCTCCGTGGTCATGTGGCCGGCACGACTGAACACTGAAGGTGCACTATTACCTTCCCACCAAAAGTGGCCCCTATTTTTCTACTTGCATTTTTTACATGCTTTCGAACTGCTAGACTGGCAGAAGCTGTTGGGGCAAGTAACAGGAGCTCACTCTGTTACGCGGAGCTAGGGATCTGAACTGCCGACCTTTCTAATGGACAAGCTCACTGAGCCAAAGTAACAGAATGGATCGATTAGTACAGCATTGAACTGTCCCGCAATGAGCTGACCGTGATAAGTTGGCCGCGGCGAATTGCCCTAGAGCCCTCCCGGACCCCCAGTGTATGGGGCTTCCCCATTCTCTGCAGCCAGGATTTGGGGTGTGCAACCCCACATATCCCCTTGTGCAGCAGGAAACACAGGACTTGAGTCGGAGACAATAAGAAGGAAGGAGGTGGAGAAGGTACCAGGAAAGAGACGGGTGGGAAGGAAGGAAGGACAGAGGTGATCAACAAAGGTAAACTGAGAGGGGAGGGAAAAGTCAGCTGAATATAAATTTGCAAAAAAAAAACAAAACAGAAAATAAACCAAAATAAAAATAGCAATCTGAAGGAAACCAAAATAATAGTAATAATAATAATAATAATAATAATAATAATAATAATAATAATAATAATAATAATAATAATAATGGTCAAAGTAGTTCAGAGAAAAGTTCCTTTCCTGGATGAATCTAATTGTTTTGTTATCTTTACCCACCAAAGCATTTACTTTGGTTTGTCGCCCGATCCACAAACACTTTCGAGGAGATGACATTACCGAATGGCAGGAACATCTGCATCAGCTCTGCGTCCCCAAACTCCTGGGGCAGATGGTAGATAAACAGGTTGCAGCCCTCTGGTCCTAGGGGGAAGGTGGAGGAGGACAGAGAAAGAGGGAGGGAGAGAGGGACGGAGGGAGAGAGAGAAAGAGAGAGAGAGAGAGAGGGAGGTAAGACGTCAGAAAGTGAGGATGTCTCCGTTGGGACAAAATATGGGTTCTACCCAGGGATGGGCTGCTGGGGGCTCGCAGGGGCTCAGAGAGACAAGCAGCGAGGGAAAGCTCTTAATAGGCTTAATTGAACTTCTGGGCATTCAGCCAAGAGCATTTCACACCTGGTAAAAGTGTGGCAAGCTAGATAAACAATCCACTCAGCACTTGCGAGGGAGAGCCATTGAGAAAATCAGATAACATAGACACTAGCTTCTGAGGAGATTAATTCCCAAATAATAAGAATCACATAACTCACCAGAAACTCCACTAAGACTCCAAGATCCCTCTCATAGTCACTGCTATTAAGCCTGGTTTCACCCAGTCTTTTATTTAAGTGTTAAATGCATGAAGTAATGAACAACTTTTGGGTATATATCTTTTTTCAGGTAATTAGGGCAAAAAACCGACGTCGAGCTGGCCACACCCACCCATTCACATGACCACCTAGCCACGCCCACCCAGCCACACCCACCCAGCCAGTCATTAGGACAGAGAGCCCCTTGCTAAAAAATTTGAAGCCCACCCCTGGTTCTACCACAACTCACTCATTGTCTTCTATAACCCAAAGTATCTGAGAAATGAAAATACGAATCGTTGTGAGGCATAAAATAAAGAGGTAAACTTTCTTCCTGGTCATGTTGTTAAGATGGTCTGAAGGAGATCAGATCAGCTCTGACACCTGACAGAAGCCAGTGGTTTAAAAGCCATGTTGGGAAGGCATAAATATGCATAAAAACGATACTTCTCACTTTTTAACCCATGAGAAGGAAACTGGTTAGAAACCTCAGAATTATTGGGTTTCTTTTCTCTCTGTTGAGGGACACAATAGAAACCTTAGTAGCTATATTTCCCTCCTGTGAAGAAGCAGAAGAAGGAGAAGTGGAGGAGGAGGAAGAAGAAAAAAGGAGGAGGAGGAGGAGGAGGAGGAGGAGGAGGAGGAGGAGGAGGAGGAGGAGGAGGAGGAAACAGAAAGAAACAGAAGGAAAAAGGAAAAAGAAAAGAAGGAAAAAGAAAAGGAAGAAGGAAGAAGGAA